TATTGTTTAGAGTGTTTCACAATGCTCATCCCCTATAGGTTTCACTTTCGCATTGTCAAAGGCGTTTTTTGCTGAGAAAACAATCGGATTAGGGGTGTTAAGCCGTGTTTGGGAACTAAAATATAATTCCGAGAAGATACAAAAGGTGGGTTCGTTTAACCTTTATTTGTTAGAGGTGATTATGTTGTTTACACTGGTTAAGGTTGTAGAGTTCATTCAAGCAATTAGAGGCCAATAAGTATTTCATTGAAATCATTGACTAACTTTGAACATAATTTGCAAACATGTACGCTATGAGAACATTTTACTTATTGTGTGTTTGTACATTAAATCGTGTAATTGGGAGAATCACTATGACTTTTCAATCGGCGTTTTTTTCAAATTGAGACACCAAACGCGATCATGTTGTGACTCTAGTTCATATCCTTAAAACGATTCCATGAAAGCGATTTTGAAATGCTCCACTAATATCTAACTCAGATTACAAATAAATTTACAAGAATTCATAGATACAAGTCAGAAAAAACAATCAATAGACAAATATAGTCTTATAATGTTTGAGAAGAAACCACAAGGGAACAATGAAGAGTGGAAGTGGAAGCGAGATGTAATGTAATATTGTCTGATGGCGGGTGTGAGACATGGGTGACCCTTGACCTCGCCTTTCACTCGTTTTATTATTTTCCCTTGCCCCCCCCCCCTCCACTGGCCACCGCTGAGCACATAAAACTCTAATGAACACATCCACTTCTTGACAGACACGACGTTAAAAGCTGATTCAAACAATGCTTGGAGAGCGTTACAGCTACGTCGACAGAGGTTATCTTCATCAGAAGCACCAGTAGTTGACCCACAAGTTACAAATGTGGTGGCTTCTGCTAGAGGTGATACGAACAATGCTGGGACAATGTTATGATAATCTGTATAAGTAGGATCGCATGTGCCGTTCTCGTGGACAACTTTAAAGAAGCCTGTGAAGAATAATTTTGCCAGACTAAACAGAAACGATGAACAGAATCGGTTGCTTAAAATTCCACTACCAAAACAATTTTTTTGGCATCGCACTTCAACAAATTCTCTCCAACCATGTCTGTAGAAGCAAAAAAGTCACAATACAACTGTGGGAACGGGTGTCCATAGCCAGATTCCTAACCTATCGTTTTATGGTATCAAAATATTAGAAGGACATGTTTCCCTATCGTTAGCTAACAGAGCATACCGGGCGTGCGGTTCGTGGAATCTGAGTTGTTTAGAGGTGATAAGCGGCTGATAAGACGGCGATAAGGCGTCAAAGTGGCTGTCGTTAACAGGTGTGCGGCCCTCTCGATCACAAGCCAACGGGTTATTTAGGGCTAGGGTTGTCAAACACACACGGCCAGTAAAAACTTCTCTTTTTAATAATCTGAGCATTCTAAGCTGAAGAAGTTACCTCGTGATTTTCTATTGTCCTTTCGTAATTTTTCAATTTATTTCCAGATAACTACGATTTTGAATGCATTTTCAATTAGAAGATTACGTACAAATCAAAAGGCTAGAAGCTGTGAAATTTAATTGTTTGTTATCTTTAATTTTGCTTTATGATTGGCAAGTACCTTGGCTTTGGATAAACGATGTATTGCATCAATTTAATCCCCCCAACAATTATTATCTACGAACTTTTCGATTCCTGTTTGGCTAAAAGCATTTTTATGGTCCAAGAGAAAAGAAGAAATATTTTGAAGGAATGCCAAGATAGGTCACCTGAATCCAAAATTGTTGCATCCCGAGAGATGCGACTGGCCAGATGTAAAGGTTGGTGAGAAGGAGAAGTTCATTATGAATTCAAGAGCCGGCGATGGCCCGGCGTGCAGACAGCGGACAAATTCATTACACTCCGTTGAGTTATGTTATGGAACCGTAAAAGACTAACGAAAAAAAGGTTGGGAGACTACCACCCGGTCTCACACTTTAGAAAGAATATACCTTGAAGCTTGGAACCCATAAAGAAAATGGTTTCTGGGACTATTGGTTGGAAAAGTAAGAATTATGTGACTTTGTTTCTCATCATCTAAAATATTTTGCGATTGCATAAAGGTATACAGTAGTAAACTTAGTACACTTTTCAGCAGCTTTTTGCATGCGCGTACCTTCAAAGACCTGGTGTTTTATCTTCACTGCTGTATAATCTTTGCTAATTTTACTCCTTGGTCTACTTTTCTCATTATCACTTTGGTCATTATCTCATTTCTCTCCTTGTATATTGGTCTCCTTGGTCATTATTTTTTGGCTCTAAAATATGTTCAGAAAACAATTGTCAAAACTTATAACATACTGCAATAAAAAAAAAAAATTGATTTAAAGGATTAGTTAAAACACATTTTTTATATTTTGATCTACTGATTAAACTACGAAGATTTACACAATATTTTGTTGTTTTTAGTTGAATACTGTTGAAATGCTGAACATTGACTTCTTCACATTTTGATAATAATGAGCAAACTACAAAGATTGACACAAATTGTGTAGTTCGTATTTGAATACTGTCGAAATGCTTAATTTTTACCAAACACAAGCCCAAGTTAAAGAATGTAGCAAGTGAAATCACTGTTATCCCCCTTGCAATTACAATTCAAATGTTAACGTAATTTAACAAAAATACCAAGGTTGTACTAAAGAAAAGTTGGATTCCTTTTGACTGTTTCACTCGGGATTCCTTTTAATCTGAGATGGAGGACACATTGAGATGACAATTCTCTACCACGAATCTTCTCAGACAGTGGAAGATTCCTCTCTTTGAATCATCCTGATTTCCCAATACGCACCGTGATCAGCATGAACTACACCGGAAGTTCTTGGTCAGCAACAACTCCTTTGTCTCAGCAGATGATAGGATGACTTGCCTCTTAGCCATTATACAGGGTGAATCACATATTCACTTGGAACTGCCTTCCAGCTATTACGACCATCAAGGCCTTCGAAAGGTCATCCGGGTTATATCTGAGCTTCCAGGTAAAAATAGTTTGGAAGGTCGGGTCTAATTTATCACATTCAGGTGCCTAATGTGTCAGGTATTCTCAAAGTGTTTTAGGTGGGTGTTGAATATGATTTAGGTTATTTAGTTGTAAACATCCTAGGCTATTAGTGAAAAAGTTGTGCGTTAGGGTACTTTGGGTTTCTTCTGAAGCGTTATGTAAATAGTTGTGGTACATATAGGTTTTAAACCACGTAACTAGGTATTTTTGTTATTTTCATTCGTTATATTCGTGTTAGTTACCTAATAAAGCTATTTTTGAGTATTTGATTTCAGTGTCATAGGTTTGTCTCCCTTGATCTCTATTTAAAAAATATCAATTTTCAATCAATTTAATAATGAAACACGAACGTTCATCAAAAACGTTCCAAAAATACCCAATCACCTTCGTCGCCCAAAAGATCTCGTACGTTATGCCACGTATCCGGGGCGTCAGACACCCAAATCTCCGGAACAGCAACGAAAGGTCCGATTACAGTGCGGTTTGCCGGGGCGGAACCGGAAGACTCTTTCTGCCGAGAAAAGGACGAGTTATCCCAACGAAAAGATAATTAGCAGGTAGAGATTGCTGTTCAACCGCACAAAAAGCCCTGCTTCCTCAGTGCTTTTCATAGGGTACAAAGGAGACCCGTAATTATTAAAAATTATTTCTCGTGCCCCACAAAGGGGTGAAGTGCGGTTTCACATGCGAATCGTACGTTCACCCCTTTCATGCTCGATATCAAATAGACATTTGGAGGGTCTTACAAGACCGGTCACCCCCGTTGTCAACCGGTGCTTGTTGCTTGACCATTCAGACTGACCACTGGGCTTTGTGAGTGAGGAAATCAAAGCGTTCAGTCCACAGTTGTTTTAATGACGGTTGCGTCGAGTGGTCGTTATTTGTCCCCTGATGCGATTTCACAAAAGTGGTTTTAAGTGATTTTATGTTTTGTCTTGCCTTATCCAATGGAGTGTTGGGTGCGTTATTTATTTAGTAAGGTTTTGGTGAGGTTTCGCATTTACATGAATTTTTAAGTTCCGCATAGAGTCTTGTTGGAAAATGTTACGAAATCTTGTGTTATGTAATTTCACGCAAAATTTAGAGGCCGGCTCAGATTTTTGCTATGCTGACGAATTCTTGTCAACGTCAGCCATACATTAATCCACAGCAAGGCAAGCTATAGCTTTTTACCTACACTATTGCATTGGAAAATAGATGCTAAATGATTGAAAATTGTAGTTTTGACCCGTTTTGGTGATTTTATATTACTTTCAATGTTTGTATTCTTGAAAAAATACTATGTAATAAAATCGTTTCAGTAAAAGTTTGTACATTGATGCTCAACTTAATTTCGAAAAGTATTCTTCACTCCACATTATAAATAGCGAATGAAATATATGGCTCAATAAATCAACTTTTACACGGGGACGTTAAGTGATTATTTTATCGGGACAAAGGCATACTATGGTGAATTCTTTAATTTTAGATGGTACGTCTTTTTGTTCCTCGAGTTGCTAGACTGTACATTATTAAAAGGGTGAAGTGTGTGTGATAGGGTTTGTTCATTGTTAAACATTTGAAATAACAATGACAGTTTATTAAATACAGTAAGTGTATTGGTAGCCTGTAGCCCTGCGTGATATGCTAGTCTACCTTTAATTAAAAATTACTACAGCAGGTTTCTCATGAAACTATTCATATTGGAAATATTCTTCAATGAATCGCCATACGAAAATTTCCCCCATCATGCGGGAACTCGTTATTCTTTTGCAGTGTTCCCCCTTCATGTTATGCTCATTGATGATTTTTCAGGATTTCCTCCCTAATGCAGAATGTCTTGCTATTTTTTTAGTGTTTCTTACAAGTGTTGTAAATCTTGTTTTTTACTGTATCCCCCCCATCATGTTGTACCCGTTGATGTTTTTGCAGGATTCCCTCCTCATGATGTACCCATTGTTCTATTTGCAGTATTTACCGCTAACGTTGTAACTCTTATGTCTTTTGCAGGATGTAGAGAGACGGCGTTCATCTACGCCATCACCAGCGCCGCGGTGACCCACTCAGTGGCGAGATCCTGCAGCGAGGGCAGCATAGAGTCCTGCACCTGCGACTACAGTCATCAGGCCAGAGGAGGACCCAACCCCACAGGCACGGCGGCCGGGGTCCGCGACTGGGAGTGGGGCGGCTGCAGCGACAACATCGGCTTCGGGTACAAGTTTTCGCGGGAGTTCGTCGACACCGGGGAACGAGGGAGAACTCTGCGGGAGAAGATGAACCTGCACAACAATGAGGCTGGCAGAGCGGTGAGTTGGTATACATGTCACAACCGTATAAGCCCTTCCATACTATGATCCATAGTGCTAAAAATTCGAGATACCAACTGGCCATTAGGAAATTCTTCTGTCAATAAGGATCCAAACACGAAAACAAAGCGAAATATAGGATTGAGATTATTCAAAAATTACGGAATGAATTATAACATGTTACAAAGAAAGATTTCAATATCGCCACTTCTTAAAAGTTATTTGAACTTAAGTCAAACATAAGAAAGCTGCAGGCCACCGTTTGACAAGGACGACAAGCAGGCTGACAGAGTTGTCCGTGTGTAGATGTAGAGATGTAGGTTTGTCAATGAACCCCGCAGTCGGTGGCCCAGTGGTTGACAGCTTCTGGGGCAGCTAATGGATGGAATCACGTCCGAGACGCGCAGCGGGTGGTGACACTTCTGCCCCGTGTCTAACCAGCACACCTGAGGCTTTTCAAATACTTTTAATTCCGTGACATTTCGTTTTACTGCACCAACTGTCCATTTACGATCGCTTACTCGGATTGTCAGCTCTATTGTGAAAGACGGTATTGTTGCTCTTCTTTCATTACGGGTAGCGTTGTGTCACTTTACCGTTGTTTGAGGATTCGATGAGCTCCTACTGGTTTGGCAAGAACTGTCGTGAAATTAAAAGTCGTTCTGTTCTAGTTGAATGCAAGATCGGAAAAGTTAATACAATCACCGTCGGAACTGAAACCAATTAAACATGTTGAATAAGAAAAACTTTGACCCGCCGTGATAAAAAAAACTCACTCCTTTTCTTCGACTAAATTCCAGTACAGTAATAGCGTGAGAGTGGACAGAACGGCGGGCGACCGCAGCGACATGGCGCGGGCGATTAGAGGCTAAACGGTTCATTTAGTGACCGCAACGGATAGATGGCGCGGCCGGCGCTCTAGTGATGGCATTTCCTTCCATTATCGCGCCTGTAACTGCTAATAACCTTAACAATTACAGCCCACCGAGCAAAAAATGATCTCTACCTTTTGGACGGGAAACAAATGAGTTTGCTAGAGCGCATTAGTCATTCGTGTCTCGCTCGCACAAGTTGGTCCTTCGAGCCGGATAACGCGTCTAGGTCGCGGCTCGAGAATTTGTTAAATGTGTTAGAATTGCTTAATTTTCTGTTGTTGTAGTTACGTCAATTCATTGTTAGCATTTCTGTTTAATGTATACACTCATCACTTAAAAATTATAAGTGCTTTTTAATTATTTAATTCTCAATTAGAGGGAACCATATGGGTCTGTGGTGGATTATAAAACAGTTCTCTACATAAACACTGTATTTGCGATGTTGGCAGTGCAAATTAAATTCAAATCTCCATCTTTGATAAACACAATAATGCCTCTCTCTACTTGAGCCACCACGATGTGACTTAACGTCCCAACTCCGCTCAGCCGATAACCATCCGACGTACAACATACATTAAACGGCGAGCATCGTTAGCTAACTCATGTTCAATATGAATGATTTACCGGGGACAAGACGCTGTAATTGCACGTGTAATTGATAGAGGTCGTGGCTGATGAAGCAGTCAGAGAAGGCCCGATTGTCCTGTCCATCACCCGGTATTTATGCAGATAGCCTCAACAATGCAGCCAGCTCTCGACCTTTGTCTAGTCGCGGACCCACTTTCACATGAGAGATTGAAGTAAAAAATGATAGGGGATAGATTAGTTTGTAGCGAAGTGCTATGGTTAGTCCCTTGGAATGCAGTGTTTTGCCATAGATTTAGGTAGTTAAACTGTTTTTCTATAACACCGTTGTGTGCAGTGACCTAATGAGCAGCTACTCAAAAATGGTGGTTGGATATTTTACAAATTCCTAGATTATGAGAATGCACCAAAAGTCATAAAATCCGAAAAATGAAAAACGTGCAATACGCAGTCAACCCAAGAAGCGCCTTAGCGTCTCACCTTTTCACCCACAAAAAGGAGGATATTAAGCCATCTAGCCAGGTTATTAGGGTCGGACAGCCGTTGTAGAATAAGAGAATACATAACACGATTTGTGGCTAGAAACTCTGGAAGAAGACAAGCATACAAATGGAAGATAGGTGGGGAGGAACACCCAGCGCGTTCACACTGAATCTCTTCCGTTCCGGACCTCCACTCACAAAAGGGCGACACCTCCACTCACGGCAACTAATCTCCTTTCCTCTCTCGTGGAATTTCTTTTTTAATGACAAATTACCATTGAAATTCGCCTTGCACCATCTCGCTTCAGCAGATGTTATCCCTACCTGAGCGTCTTCTTCCTTTTGTCGAGTCTTTCGATGCTTCTTATTTGTCGTCTCTTGTGGCTGGAAGTGAAAATGGAGTTAGGCGTAGGTTTTTCATTATCGTATTGCTAATTTAGGATTAGTTGTATCACAAATTTTATGACGAGTCTTAAAAGCAAATGCATAATTTATGTATGTCATACACGAGAAAAAGTCGGTAACTCAAATATACTACGGTTTATACCTAGAGCATCTAACAATCATCTTACAGTCATTGTTATACATGGTATAAAACAAACTAATAACATAAGAATTTCGATAATCTTTGAAATAAGTGTAATACATTGTAAATTTTCTCTTGCAAGTGAGCTTAACATTCTTAACGAACAAATTTAACAACCTTGGAAACACTTGCATTCAAATCTTCTGATTCCTAACGTCCTAAAAGAGGAATAGAAAATGTGGAAGGTTATAAAAGTGCGTCATAATCCATACGTATTTTTGTATATTAATATTCAGAGTTGCCAGTCTAAGCAATATCCTATGTTGCAGCATGTGGCAGCAGAGATGCGACAGGAGTGCAAGTGCCACGGCATGTCGGGCTCTTGTACAGTCAAAACCTGCTGGATGAAACTGCCCAACTTCCGCGTGGTCGGTGACAACCTCAAAGACCGCTTCGACGGCGCCTCCCGGGTCATGGTGAGCAACGAGGGCAGTCTTCGAGGCGCCCGGGGCAAGAAGGGCAAGTACAACTTCCAGCTGAAGCCTTACAACCCGGAGCACAAGCCTCCTGGAGTGAAGGACCTAGTGTATCTGGAGCCTTCGCCGATGTTCTGCGAGAGGAACCCCAAGCTGGGCATCGCCGGGACGCACGGTCGCCAGTGCAATGACACCAGCATCGGCGTGGACGGGTGCGACCTCATGTGCTGCGGCAGAGGGTACAGGACTCAGGAGATTGTGGTGGTGGAGAGGTGTTCTTGCACCTTCCACTGGTGTTGTGAAGTCAAGTGTAAACTGTGTAGGACCAAGAAGACGATACACACATGTCTGTAGAGTGCCTTTGACTATTGGTAGAAGTAGACGTCCCCATACGTGAACGTAGTTAAATTGGACCAATAGAATTCACTTTTGATTCGTCTTTTCTGTGGTTTATGCAAATTGGTTCGCTGTAGGTACTGGAAGTATGACTTATTGTAAACTATTTAATCTTTTAATTCATATAAACTTATCTTATCAACAACTAAGGGAGAAAATATAAATTTGACCGTAAAACACTTATGATTGTCTCATTTAACTATTGACGACAGCTGGTCTATATAGTTGGGATGTCTACTTCAGTATCCAACAGTCAATGTTTTTACATACCCCAACCTAAGACTGAGCGTGACTATAAAGACTAAAGTGACACTATCGTGGTTACAACGCTTTATGTAAATATCGACGTGATTTACTAATCAGAAAGTGTTCCTTTACCTCTAAATTTACCTGTGCGATGTAAATGCGACTGTAAAAACCGCTTTTCAGTCTTCCTTAATTATTTATTTTAATTTATTTTGTATATACGATTGTACATATTACCGTATGTGTACGCGCGTTTTGTAATTATTTATGTGTACAATAGTATATGTATTATTTCATGTAAATCATCAGTATTATTTTAGCATACGTAACTTTAGTTTTAATATTTTATGTATGTCTCTAACCTACGCCTTTTGGTTTTTAAGTTTGTATTATTTATTACACGTCTCATTGCCACTTAGATTTAGAGGTATTTTTACTGATTCTATTTAAATTTGAACCTGAAATTATTGTGTTCGTAAAAATTATTTTGGTAACATTTATGTGATTAGATACTGTATAGATATTTATACTAGGTTAGGATTGAACACCTGAAAATTTGTTATAGTAATTTGAAAATTACTATCACTACCAACCAGAATGTTTACTACTTCATTGAATATTTCAACAATTATATTTTTGTAACAATTTTAAAATATCTATAAATATTTTTCTAATGATACATATTGTGCCTTACTTAATACGAAAGTAAGGCATATGAATATATTTTGGAATTTTAACATTATATTGCTATACTTGTACTGCCAAATACTGCCATAATCTCTATTTTACCACTGAATTCGGAAATATTTTGGCAGTATTATTTTTATTATGTAAACACCTAAGCTAGGTAAATTTACTATTTACATTGGGCAATTATATATATTTGTTATTCCTATATTTCAGTTACACGCCAATAATAAACTAAGATACCTTTTATCGTACATGTAGTATACAATTAACAAATTTAAACGTGCCTTTCTATACAAATTAAAATTATTTTGGCCGTATTCAGTTAATTTGTCAAGGTCCCCTTGAAAACAAAGAGAAACAAACATTAGGGAGTTAAGGATACTGTAGTGTCATTATTTAATACATACTTACATAACATATTATTACAGTAATTATTTTGGCAAACACCACATCGTGAATAAAGGTTAGGAATTTCCATTTTTCAAGTAAAAAAAAACGAATAAATTAATATATTTTTTGAAAGTTTGCTAATTTATCAATCCACTTGAGTCTGATAACATTAAATTGCACTACATTTTTAAAATAACTTGTAAAACTACTTGTAGTTGTAAGATGTAAGAAAATACGCTTATTCGTATTATTGGACTTTGTAATGCTAAACATAAAATCCTGATAGACTGACGCTATGTTGCCTTCTGCCCAGGCAATGCTTTAATTAAGTGGTTTACTTTAGAAATCATTGATCGAAAGTGTACTTTTATATATGTATTTGTACGTAGATTGTTACAACCATTAATGTTTTGTAAATAATATTTTCTCCTAACAGATTGTATCAAAAGCTAAATACAATTCTGGTCATTACAAAGTTTCTTGAATTTCCTTATCCTTTTTTGTGATGTGTCTTGATAAGTAAGCCACGAATTAAACATTATCCATATAGATAAATGTAAAATGGTCTTAAATTACAATACAGATTTTTAAGAATGAGAATGATGAAATGAAATTAAAACTATGAAGGAGTTGCAGTATTAATATTTTAAACTTTTTATTTTGGCAGATTAGTAAACTAGCTATGCACTAGAAATATGATCACGATTATAACATTTTCTCTCCTATTTATTAATTTGTACTATACATAAAAATCAAACATCCACAGTAGAATAATAAAAGCTCGAACAATATGCTGGCTTTTTATTATGCCTTATACAAGGTGTTACTGGCATCAATCAAAACAGAACATAAAGGAAATCACAAGTTTGCTACATTTCAGCAAACTCAAGTCATCTCAGTTTAAAATCGAATCTTAATATGTAAGAAATAAGTTCAGATTCATTTTTTCAACACCAATGTATTTTTTACTTTTCTAGATGCCTGCGTATGTTACTGTGATTATAACCTAAACATGTCAAGGAAAAATGAATGTACTGGTGTTAAACTTGCAAAAGAATAAATATTTATTGATAACACATGGAAATCAAAAAAAGTAATGCAATATATGTCAAATATAAACGTAACACAGTTCAATTCATTTTATATTCAAGCTTATCTAAATTTTTTAGTATTACCTATATCAAGACCATAGTGGTATTTTCACTAAAAATTTTAAATGTAAATCAATTAATATAGTATTTATTAGGGCAAAAAAATAGTCCCGAACGTTATATGTAACACAGTGCCAAAAAATAGCTTTCATACCACCAAAGAAACTTTTTTTTCTTAATCATATACACACAGGTACATCAGGTACATTAAAACACTAAGATTGACAATGGTGTTTCAAAGATAAAATTTTATTACGTCGCAAAATGGAGCTTGGATTCTATAAAACAAAAAGGGAGAACGAGGCGTCCCAGAAAAATGACTTAATCCAGGATACATGGACATGAACTAGTTGACACATTAAAGAAAAGAAACAAAAAGAGGCAGAGGTCTTTAAAACACATGGTTTAATAATCCAATGGAATATGATTGCATATGAAGCCAATGAAGACAGAGGTGTTATAAAATAAAAATAAACTCCCTCACAAGTTTGGTTTAAAGAAATGATTTATTAATACAAATAGCAGTTACTCGCGGGCTTCACCCCGTTTGAATTCATAAGTATTAATGATTGGTTTAAGTTGAGCTGAAATAAACAAAACAGAATACAGCAATACAAACAAATAATCACACCTGATTTTAAAAAGGTAATTGAAAGAATAAAAAAAAAATAAGTACAGCTGAGGTATTTTTAACATCAGGTATTCGGAAAGTCCCCTTTAGAAAGGAATTACGACCTTAAAGGGCGACTTTTGAAATAATGGACAGTTTTGCGCAAGGTTTCTCGTTATGACGAACATTTTAAGAATATGGTTTATGAGGAATATAGCTGGTGTGACTATAAGTTTTCTCAAAAGTTCATGGGTACTTTGGGATTTATATATGGATTAAAAGGAATACGGTTATTGTTATCGTTATTATTGATATCACAGAAAAACTAGTGAAACACACTTTACTTTAATACTTTGATACTTGTCATATATTTTACAGTGTTCTTATACTTAAGGTAGTGTCTAGCATAGAGTGTACTATGGAACAGGGCAATATTGTAATTTGTAGGTATATTGTAACCAAAAATAACCTAATGTGGGAATATTCTTCATGCTTTGGTAGTTTGTTACCCAGTCCATAGCCTACTAAGGCATACGGGGATGTTCCTGATACGGTACTCACTTTAGTTCGTAGTCTAGAAGACTGGGAGAGACGGAAATATTTCAAAAATATATATTTATAATATCCATATATAAATCCCAAAGTACCCATAAACTTGTGAGAAAGCTACAAGTCACCCCCATAAACCATATACTTAAAATGTTCGTCATGACGAGAAACCTTGCGCTAAACTATCCATTATTTCATAGTTACGTCCCATAAGGTCGTAATTAATTGCTAAAAGTAACTTTCCATATGCCTAATGTTAAAAATATCTCAGCTGTACCTATTTGTTTGTTATTCTTTTAATTTATTACTTTATTAAAATCAGGTGTGATTATTTGTTTCTATTACTGTATTCTGTTTTGTTTACTTCAGCTAAACTTAACCATATAGTTTTATTAATAATTGAAGTATAACGGGGTGAAGCCCGTGGTTAAAGACTAGTACAGTATCTATAAACGTGGAAGTATGTATGTATGTATGTACGTTTATACCCTATGGACTCCGAAACCGCTCGACAGATTGTAATGACACTTTCAGGCATTATTAAGCATTATTCAAGGATGATGTGTGTGGATTTTGGTGCAGATCCGTCAAAAGGGCTCCGCCCCAGAGGGTTTTTAGGGATCCAATATTAGAATTTTGGAACTACAATGTTTACTATTAAATATATAACACCAAAACTGTCACAACTAACTGTTGGTTTGAATAATCACAACATTCTGTATTGGTCCTTATTTGAAATAGTGTCACACTTTTTCGTCAGAAACTAGCACAGAAAACTATTTGACTTTTGGATAGTTCCAAATATGTTAAACCCCAATCGCAGCACACCTGTGCACTCAACAGCGATTAAATTTTCCACTATTAAATATGTAAACATAAAAAGTAAAAACTTTTACCAAAGTATTATAAACAATAAAAGGGATGGCAATGCCTTAATATTTTTATCTTTTGTTCTATACCCACACAATCTAACATAAATTATTAAGTGAATAATAATCGTGCGTGCTATCTCAGGTATTCAAATGCCTCACAATTTGTCATCAAGCCACCATTACTGACATTAAAAGAAGACACTCCAATAATACTAATGCGAAACTTAAATTTACACAAGCTGTGCAACTTAACCAGACTGACGATAAAAAAATGACACCAAACTTGATCGAAGCGCCAATCATCAGTGGTAAATTTAAAGGAGAAAAAGTCTTAATCCCAAGAATACCGATGATTTAATCCGAAATACCCTTTGAATTCAAGTGACTATGGTTTCCTTTGTGTGTTGCTTTCGCAATCACCGCTATAAGGCACAAGGGCAATTTGTAGACTATCGCCGGTTTAAATTAAGAAAATGCACGCTT